TGGGGCGGCCGCCCCACAAAAAGCCTCTGGCAAAGAGATGAAGACAGAGAGCAATTACGACAAGGAAGAACATGAATATAATGATGACCACCATTATCTTTCCGGTTAACTCAACGCCGGGGGATTCTCCCATGTTTTCACTTGAGTCACCCATGATTATTGAAAAGAAAGGGTTTGGTTGTGTTAATTATGAATGAAGTGAGAAGTGAGAAATAGAAATAGAAATAGAAATAGAAGAGGAAAACGTATGGGAGAACCTCCAGAATGGACTTAGATGACGGCATTGAATGGTCTAAGTGTTGACCCACAAATGGAAAAAAAAAAGTATTGCATTTTCTTCCACGTCTCCAGGATTGGATTTTTCTTCTTTATCTTCTTCCTATTCACTTTCAGCCGCAGCCTCTGTATCTGTTCATCTCTTCTAACCTTTTACTTTTCACCATTCACAAACACGCTCCCATTCACATGATTCAATTCCACACAAAATCTTAGAAAACGAAATATAAACTAACAATTTCTTTTTTCTTTTTTTTTGAAAGAGCAAGTAATGAACAATTTATTACTTTAATAATTATGCATGCCATTTTATTAGTTTTCAAATTAAGAAAAATTTATACAATTTCTTAGGCTAAAACCCTATTTTAGTCTCTTAAAATTTTTTTTTGTTTCAATTTAGTCCTTCATTAATTTTTTGTCTCAATTTGGTCCCAAACTAATTAATTGGTTTCAATTTAGCCCTAAATTAATTAATTAGTTTCAATGTGGGACTTTCCGTCCAAATTGCTTTAACGGTGTTAACTTTTGGCCACGTGGACGTCACGTAAATGCATACGTGACATCCACGTGCATGAGAATTTTTTTGAAAACACCTAGACCCAGAACGGACCGTTCTAAAACCGAAACGGGCCGTTCTGGGTGCACTTTTGGTGTGTTAATTTTGCATCCGGAACGGCCCGTTCTGGTTTCAGAACGGGCCGTTCTGAAATCAGAACGGGCCGTTCTGAAATCAGAACGGGCCGTTCTGAAATCAGAACGGGCCGTTCTGAAATCAGAACGGGCCGTTCTGAAATCAGAACGGGCCGTTCTGAAATCAGAACGGGCCGTTCTGAAATCAGAACGGGCCGTTCTGAAATCAGAACGGGCCGTTCTGAAATCAGAACGGGCCGTTCTGAAATCAGAACGGGCCGTTCTGAAATCAGAACGGGCCGTTCTGAAATCAGAACGGGCCGTTCTGAAATCAGAACGGGCCGTTCTGAAATCAGAACGGGCCGTTCTGAAATCAGAACGGGCCGTTCTGAAATCAGAACGGGCCGTTCTGAAATCAGAACGGGCCGTTCTGAAATCAGAACGGGCCGTTCTGAAATCAGAACGGGCCGTTCTGAAATCAGAACGGGCCGTTCTGAAATCAGAACGGGCCGTTCTGAAATCAGAACGGGCCGTTCTGAAATCAGAACGGGCCGTTCTGAAATCAGAACGGGCCGTTCTGAAATCAGAACGGGCCGTTCTGAAATCAGAACGGGCCGTTCTGAAATCAGAACGGGCCGTTCTGAAATCAGAACGGGCCGTTCTGAAATCAGAACGGGCCGTTCTGAAATCAGAACGGGCCGTTCTGAAATCAGAACGGGCCGTTCTGAAATCAGAACGGGCCGTTCTGAAATCAGAACGGGCCGTTCTGAAATCAGAACGGGCCGTTCTGAAATCAGAACGGGCCGTTCTGAAATCAGAACGGGCCGTTCTGAAATCAGAACGGGCCGTTCTGAAATCAGAACGGGCCGTTCTGAAATCAGAACGGGCCGTTCTGAAATCAGAACGGGCCGTTCTGAAATCAGAACGGGCCGTTCTGAAATCAGAACGGGCCGTTCTGAAATCAGAACGGGCCGTTCTGAAATCAGAACGGGCCGTTCTGAAATCAGAACGGGCCGTTCTGAAATCAGAACGGGCCGTTCTGAAATCAGAACGGGCCGTTCTGAAATCAGAACGGGCCGTTCTGAAATCAGAACGGGCCGTTCTGAAATCAGAACGGGCCGTTCTGAAATCAGAACGGGCCGTTCTGAAATCAGAACGGGCCGTTCTGAAATCAGAACGGGCCGTTCCGGATGCAAAATTAACACACCAAAAGTGCACCCAGAACGGCCCGTTCTGATTTCAGAACGGCCCGTTCTAATTCACTGGTGGTGTTTTAATTTTGCAACTAGAACGGCCCGTTCTGGTTTCAGAACGGGCCGTTCCGGGTCCAGGTGTATTAAAAAGAATTTTCTCATCCACGTGGCCAAAAGTTAACTCCGTTTAAATAATTTGGACGGAAGTCCCACATTGAAACTAATTAATTAATTTGGGACTAAATTAAAACCAATTAATTAATTTGGGACCAATTTGAGATCAAAAATTAATGAAAGACTAAATTGAAACAAAAAAGATTATAAGCGACCAAAATAGGGTTTTAGCCCAATTTGTTACTGCTTCATACATACCACCTTATTCCTAGTAGAAATATTGTTGAGTAGTCAACACCACTTGCACCGTGTTTATTTAAATGTAACGTCGATATTATTATTATTTTTTTACTAGTAAAATTGTACTGGTATCAATCTTTGTATTTGACTATTTGTGATGATGAGCTTTAGTAAAAGATTGGAGAATTTTTTGTTTCCCAATCTATGTCATTGGTTTTGTTAAGAAATGAGTAAATAGTGTTACTCGTGAGTTTGCTAGGTGGTTACATTTATACCTGCTCCCTACATTTTCAATTATGTTCTTCTTGAGTAATTGATTATATAAAAAGTGATTATGTAATTAATTAAATTGACTTAAAAATTTTCAAAAATCTTCATACTTTATATTCAAATTTCAACTAGTGTATATGAAAAAACTGTAAAAAAAAATAAAATTATTTCAGCATTGGATTATAATTACAATGATTTTTTTGTCTGAATAAGTTTACTAGAAAGAAGTTTTGAAATATTTATTTTCATTTGGATAAAAAAAAAACTAACTTTTATGCAGTAAATTAATTTTAAGATAAAAGAATAACTATTAAAAAATAATTATAAATTTCAAGTTTTCATATATATGAAAATAATTTATTTTTAGAAGAAAAAACTTGTTTGCTAATTTCAGTTATTAACCAAAACAAGTCGCCTATTTTACAAACAAATTTTTATTTATAAAAATAGTTAAAAGCTAGGAATAAAATGTTCCCTAAACACACTCGTGGGGCGTTTGGAAAAAAGTGTAAAAAAAATATTACCTTAATAATCGAAATTATTATTATTAATGATTATAATTAGAATGATTTTTTTTATTTAAATTAGCTTGTTGAACGATTTAAAAATATTAAATTTCGTTTGAATACAATAAATTTTGTAATAAATCAACTTAAAATGAAAGAAAAAATTTGTTAAAAAATTATAAATTAAAAAATTTTCAAATTAATAAACACGACTTATTTTTCATAAATATTATTTCGATTTAAGTTGTTATCCTAAACAATTAGCTTTATATATATATATATTTAAACTTAATATTTATTTATATATAACATATTATAAATTTTAATCATATTATATATAATAAACATGTTTATGCATTAAACAAACTAAAATACTATTTATTTTATATATATAAAAAAGTCTCGTCACTTTTGATGAGATTTCAAGAAAAATGAAGAGAAAAACAAATATTTTATCTCATTAAAAATTAAATGATACTAAATATTTATCTTTTCTCTTTTAAATTATATATCATATTACTAAAAATAAATATATCTATATAATATACATTCATTTTTATTTATTTTTTATTTCTTATAATTGAAATAATATAAAAATTTATTTAGTTTTTACTCATTCTCTCTTTTCTTTTATTATTTTACTCCGTTCTAAAAATCTTTGATGTCGAAATTCAAATAAAGTGTATGAGCAGATGGAGTACCTTAAGCAGACATTTGAATGGAATGAATGGTAGTTGTTAGGAAGAAAAGCATAATGAGAAATTGGGAGAAATATTTGGTCCACGTCGGGTCTTGGTTCATAGCCATGGGTGTTGGTGGATCCAAATCCAGCTCTTTGGGGAAATGAATATACATGACCCATCAGTGTCCCTCTACGCTCTCCAAATTTACATTCACTGAATTTCCCACCAACATATCATTTTCTTTTTTAGTTCATTGAATCTCAATCAGACACACTTCACTGTGCACACCATTCTTTTTCTTCTTCTTAACATGTATATTTTACAAAACATATTTCTATTTCAAGTTTCTCCACAAATATTCAAACAACCAATAGTGTCTGTACTGATTTAATAAATGAGTTTCTTAATAATTATAGTGAATCTGAGTGAATATGTGACAAATATCTAGTTGATCCCACATATTTTTTAATTTTCACAAATATGAGAGGATTTAAGGAAACAAAATTATTTTTATGTTTCACTTTGATTATTTCTTTAACTTTGTAACACGCATATAAAACGGACATAATTGATCCTATTATTTTTACGAGTGAAACATAATCGACTATGTACTCAAAGGTGAATATAATTGATTACATTTGTTTTGTATTTTAAATTGATTTTTTAATTTAATTATTTTATTAAAAGATAATTGAGTAATTTAATTTAATATAAATTAATAATTATTTAATTTCTTTCTTTTTCTTTTCTTTTTATCAAGAAAGAAAAAGATATTGTTAACTGAAATATCAATTTGAATTCTCATGTTAACTTAAATATCAATTTGGAGGCCCAAGAAGAAGTTGTGAATGGGTTTGGGCCGCAAAGCCCAAGGCGGAGTGAGAAAGTAATTGACATTTAACATGGTTACGTTATCCTATTTGGGGTTCTTGGGCGTTTCAATTTGTGGTGTGCGTGCGAATAAGGTTCTTGTTCGAGGAGATGCACTCTATGTTTCTCTGAATCCCTTACCCATGCCTTTGTTTGGTAACTAGGCATTTCTCTCTTGGCATTCCTATTCCTAATCGTATCTTCAAAATGATTTCAATCTTAATCGATTGTGTTGCAGAGATAACAAATGCGCAACTGTCCTTCCGATATTCGCTCACACTCAAAGCCCCAATGCCATATGAGGCTAAAGGGTCTTCTTCCATTTCCCTCTACAAGCTTAGAAATGGAAAGTATAATAACTTGACTCTCATTAAGGCTGTTGCCACCTTCGAACCAAACACCGTCGCTGCAACTGCAAAGCCTCACTTGGACTTTGTCCTTCAATTCCCTGACCATGAAGCGCATCCACCTGATGAAAGGGAGCAGTTGAGGAGACTGAGGATTTCCAAAGCCAATAAAGGCAACACGCCATGGAACAAAGGAAGAAAGCACTCTCCTGGTACCATCCATTCTCACATCTTTATTTTTATTTCCTTCTCTTCCAACACTTTAATCTAATTTTCCATTTCTCTGTCACCAGAGACTTTGCAGAAAATCAAAGAAAGAACCAGGCTCGCCATGCAGAATCCTAAGGTGATGTCATGTAAGAATATTCTTATGTCTTTTGTTCAACAAAATTTTCGTCTTAATAACACAACACTACTTCCTTTCTTAATTCAATATATTTACACCTTTTACTACTTTCTCTTCCTCAGGATAGGCTCAGTATTTCAAACCACACTATCTGATATTCAAAATTTATTATCCTCTCTCCGCTTCAAGTAACACTTTCTTAGAGTGTTGTAATTTTGTTAATCAGGACGTGGAATGCTTCTTGGGTTTTTCAATTTTGGCTTATATAGATTTCTTTAACAAAATTTTGTAATGCAGGTCAAAATGAAGCTGATTAACCTTGGGCATTCACAAACGTTAGTATTTTCCTTTCCTTGTTGGTTCTTGTTACTAATTAATACTGCTTCTTTGTTGATTTTAGCTTTTTAGACCCGAAGAATTTTACTTGGTTCAGCCTTCTTTGTTGATTGCACAGTACAGAAACAAGAAAGAAGATTGGCGATGGAGTGAAAAGGCGATGGGAAAAGAGGCGTGGAAAGAAGATGGAGCAGGAATCTTGCTGCTCTGAGTGGCAGAATTTAATTGCAGAAGCTTCTAGACAAGGCTATGTTGGTCAGGAAGAGCTGCAGTGGAGTTCTTATGAAACAATGGATGAACAGCTGAAGCAGGAGTGGTTGATGAGTGTTGAACAAAGGAAACAAATGACAAGGACACCAGGTAACAAAAGATCACCCAAGTCCCCTGAACAGAGAAGGAAAATTGCAGAAGCAATCGCTGCCAAATGGGCTGATCCTGTAAGTCTATATGTTAAATACATTGAAGTTGGGTGATTTATGGTCTTTACTGCTATTAAAGGTTTCCTAGATCTTTAACTCCGCTAGCTCACTAGTGGTTTCTCATAAAATCAGAACTTATTAGTTGTTTGTGGTGGACTCTAGAGAAGTTAAACACTGGATTTTTTTTTTTTTAATTCCCTCACCTGCATAATTTGATTACTTTTGGTATCAATTTTTTTAGGCATGTATGTTCAATGAATTTTGATAGTTTGATACCATTACCAATATTTTCTTATTAAGCTTCTTAAGAAGTTGTATGTCGTGAAACAAAGCTCTAGTAACTGATTTCTGTATGCTAGCTGTAATAATTAGAATAAGAGGCTGAATAGTAGTAGATGTGTTCTTCTCCTGTTGAAAATTTTAACTTTACCTGTTCTACCTGTAAAACCTTTCTATGTTTCACAAATTGTCTCCATAATTCCAATAAATGCTGAATATTGATAAAAAGTTAGCTCAAAGGCCCATGTTGCAAATTCTCTATTATAAAAAAGTTAGAAAGTGGAGGAGAAAGTGCAGTCAGATTAGTCAATGGCCAAAATGAAATCATAAGTTGCTGCATACTTGCATGTTTTAGATGGACATGTTAGCTAATGATGACACTCATTTTTTTTTTTTGTTTATATTTGCCCTATGTCAAAAGTGGATGTTGATATGTATGTGTTTGCTCCATTCTTGTTTGTGGACTTTGACTTGCAGTCTTGCATGTGTTCAAATAACTTGTTACACCAAATGGTGTAGATAGGTTTTGTCAAAAATTGTACCCAAACAACTAAAGTTTTTCCAAAGTACTCCTGTTAAGGATCAAAGCAGATTTTGGAGCAAATTCTTTCTGTTACTATTTTTCTCTCTTTAGGACCAAATTATTTTTATGTTATATCAGGAATACCGTGAAAGAGTTTGTTCTGCATTGGCCAAGTATCATGGCACTGAAATTGGAGCTGAAAGGAAACCTAGAAGGCGACCAAGTGATGGTACCCAACCTAACAAGAAGAAACCTATTAAAAAAAGAGATACTGATACTAGCGCTCATGTTATGAATGGCTCAAAAACCCATAATCTTATTCTGTTGAAAAAAAGGAAATCCCCAGCCTATAAGGATCCTTTGGTGAATTCTAAGCTTGAAATGATAAAGAATATTAGAGCACAGAGAGCTGCTGCAGAAACCACGCAAACTCAAGCCATTGAACGGGCCAGGTAAACTCATTTTTTACCAACAAGGCAACAAGGATCAGCGCAAAATATTATATTATTTTTTTTCAATTATAAGCATATACCCTACCCCCCTCCCGCCCTTGTTTTTCCTTTTTTGATGTTATTGACCTCTTTGTTTCTATTATAATTCTGGATGCACTAAACATTGCTTTTGGATATTTGGTAATGGTCACTGAATTACAGGTTTTGATTTATTTGATCTATATTTCAGTAGTTATCCTGTATACACTCATGAAATGATATGTTATGCACAGACTATTAATTGCTGAAGCTGAGAAAGCTGCCAAGGCACTTGAAGTTGCTGCAACAAAGAGTCCTATTGCACAGTCTTCTCTGATAGAAACCAGAAAGCTAATAGCTGAAGCTATTCAATCACTTGAATCCATTGATACACAAGCTATAACTGATGGCAATGTTCCTACGCTTGGTTTGAGTGAGGTCAATAACGAAAAAGAATCAGCATTCGAAGTTCTAAACCAATCACAAATGACCCAAGTAAATGGACACACAACATTATCATCAAGTGACTACAAGTTCTCTGAAGATTTTGGCAAATTTTCCTTTGAGAAGCCAGTTAATGGCGATCCCGAACTAAAACTAACCAATGGCTGTGCATCCTTACCTTTTAGTTTGAATAGTCAAATTAACGAATCTCGTCCATCAAATCAACAAAGGGAAGCAGAACAGGATCAGAGAAGTGAATACGAAACGGATCCTTCTCCAACAGTGATGGGAATTGAGTCCCTTGAAAATGAGACCGTGTTTAGATCACCATTAGTAACTAAAAAGTGGGTTCGCGGAAGGCTCGTTGAGGTGGCTGAAGAGAAGCAATAAAATGGGTAATGCTTAGCCCAGTTTTCAAACATTAATACAATGCAATGTCATATTGTTTATTGCATGTTATATAGATCATAAGCACCGCGAATATTTTCTGTTTTAATAGTGTGACATTGCTTACTCACCCATTCGTTCCTTGAAATCAAGAGTGGAGTTGTATCAGCCCCGCAACAGCCAACTACGTGTAGACAGATCGAGGGAGATTAAAATAGCTATCACTTAGGAAAGGGTGCACTTCTGGTAGTTCACAGGATACATCTACTTCTTTTGATCATGTTACATGAAACTGAGTTAATCATATGATTATTTTGTTACATTGCAGCGTATGAGTTGATAATATGAGTAATTCATGTTGTATTTTTGTAGCCACTGCAAAGATTTGAGCCCCAGCAGTGGTCATTTCCCCCTCAGCTGGGAGATTCTGTTACACTCGGGATCGCACCCAAATTATAAAGAGTAGGATAGTGTTGGTTAAGGGTCGACGAAATTTTCTTTTACATTTTGTTTTTGTTCAAATATCTGGATCTATACTTTTTAATTGGCTCTTCAAATACTGTATGACAAAATTGACCAAACTTTTCTAGCTTTTCTCCTTTGTGGTAGTATAATTAAATATAAGTTGTATGAATGGTTTTAACGAGAAATATGAATCGTTGGTTGAATGCACTGGATAGACTATGTAAGTATTGTAACCTGGTCTATTGAAAGGCATAAAGGTTTTTATTTAGTTTAAAGACATTTCACATCAAGGTTTTTTCAAGTCTAAAGGCACATTTAAGGTTTTGAATTGATTGATTAGTTTATCCTTAAATAGGTTGCAAGTTAATGGAGTTATTACCGAAATAACCGATAGATTTACAAGTTAATAAGACTATCAATAAATAGGCCAACAGGCTTACGAGCTTACCATACTAAAAATGGTTAAAATTACAGAATCATATTGTATATTTACAGGGGTGTGCCTTTGGTTTTAGGTCCAGATAACGGAATCGAGTCTAATAAATCAATCGAGCAGTGGACTGGGTAGCAAATACTAGAAATTGAAACAGAATCTTCTTCAACCGTGGTAGAGCAAACTATTCAATTGAAAGTTGAAATTACATGGACTAGGACATTTAACTTGTGTTTTTTAGGCGGGGTTAAACTGGCAAAGAGCTATATATATATATATATATATATATATATATATAAGGAGTTTCTGCCCTGTTTTTATGGTTGGTACATAAGGTTCAAGGAGAAGAGGAATGAGGTTTGGAGTTGTTGATATGGGATTCTACAGTCTTCTCAACCTGTTTCCTCTTGGCTTCCTTCTCTTCTTTGGCTTTTTGAATATCCTTTTCTAGTTCCTCTTTCTGCAAAATAACATAGCACAACAGAAAACGATAATATTATTATGAAGCATGAAAATGAAATGAATGAAGTTAGTTTGATTACGTACGTCTAGGACGTCCGGAGCAGGAGGCTTGACGCCATGAACCGCGGCCCGGTTGCCGGCCTTAGATGTGACAGGCTTCCAATAACCAGGAAAGGTGCTACTACTCCACTTCTTGTCAATCAACAATACGCGTATAATTGTCTTCTCCATCTACACCCTTATTTCACAACTACCTACTCACCTCTATTCATATATAAATCTATCCGACACAGCTTCTTGTTGGCCTAGCTAGTATACATCATTAGAAAAGAATATTAATGATAATATGTTTTTGGTTTATCTAAGTCTATGCTGGAGGCTTCCATGCATTGCTGGAACACGTGGCACCATAACCACGCTTCTACGTGTTGGATATGGGTTGAATCATGACTCAAGCATCGTCTCGTCAACACTCTTGAACCCCCTATATTCCCAACGCCACCTCCTACACTTCCAACTTCCGAATCTCTTGCCGTTTACTCTAGAGACTTGCCTGCATTAAAAAATAAAAAACTATGATAAGGATTCCAGAAGAAAATATATTGTATACGAAATTAATTATTATTGTAGATCGAAATGGCATTATTATATGCATCAATCTCGTTGTCAAGTTTAAAATATATAAACCGTAGTCAGACACTGAAAAAACATAAATGGAAAATAATGTGTGTAATGTAAGAGAAGCTTTAGGTCAATTAGGTGTAGTTTCTTTCTTTCTTCAAAAGAGAAGTATTTTTTTCCCCTTAATAGACGGTAATTTTGGTGGTAAGAATCCCAAGTTTATAAGATTATAGCAGCAAGGTCACAAAATATTGCAAAATTAATATTCACATGTCTTACTAGACCACATAATAAATGTTTAAAGAAAACATTAACTGGGCATCTTGGCCTCCTATACACCAAAATAAAAATTTTACTTATGAACTAATATGTATTTAATTAGGTTGTTTATTTAAAGACATGTTAATATAAAGCACTTGTTTATATTTTTCTTATTATGACGTGATTACTAGTAAAGAAAAAATGAAGAAGAAAAGCAAGAAAGCATGAACAGATACAATAAAATAGCGTTGGGGTTGTTGGGCCGGTTGAAGAGGCAATTACTGGAAAGTGCAATGGGCTTAGATGGGCCGCCGGTAAGGTGCCGTTTTCGTCCAGTCTCTTTACTCTCACTCACTCACATTATTCCTTCCTTCTTTCCAGAACAGTCATCGTTCTCCGCCAGCAATGGAAAGGGGTTCATCTTCCGACGAGGAAGACGAGCTCATCCATGAGAATGAGAGGAATGCCCCTGCATCTACCTCTTCCTTCCACCTCACTTCCAAATTCCACAAGAAGTACCTCTTCGCCATTCTCCCTCTCTTCATAATCCTCCTCTACTACATCACCCCCGATACCCACTCTCTCTTCTCCCTAAACACCAACAACGTCCATGACCGCACCACGGGATCCCAATTGCGCGCCCTCTACCTCTTGCGCCAACAGCAATTAGGGCTTCTCCGCGCCCTCAATTCCACTTCCCAAACGCACATCCTCAAATCCCTTCTCTCCGACCAGATTTTCCTCAACTCACAGATTCAACAGCTTTTCCTCCATTCTGGTAACGCCACGTGTAGAGCCGTGGATCAGAAGGTGTCGCAAAGAAGAAGCATCGAGTGGAAGCCCAAGGGAGATAAATATTTGGTTGCGGTGTGCGTTTCGGGGCAGATGTCGAAGCGTCTGATCTGCTTGGAGAAGCACATGTTGTTCGCGGCACTCCTCAACCGCGTTTTGGTCATTCCCAGCTCCAAGCTGGATTACGAGTACGACAGAGTGTTGGATATCGACCACATCAACAATTGCCTCGGAACAAACGTGAAAGCCGTGATATCGTTCCATGAGTTTTCCATTATGAAGAAGAAGCACGTGCACGTGCACGTGCACGTGCTGTTGCTGTGTTATTTCTCGTTGCCTGAACCGTGCCATCTAGACGAGGAGCATTTGAGGAAGTTGAAGTCGTTGGGCCTGTCCATGAGTAGGCCCACGGGCGTTTGGGAGGAGGATGCACGGAAGCCCAACAAGAGGAGCGCGCAAGATGTTGTGAAAATGTTTTGGCGGGACGAGGATGTTGTGGCCATTGGGGATGTCTTTTACGCGGAGGTGGAGCCGGACTGGGTGATGCAACCGGGTGGCCCACTCGCTCACCACTGCAAGACTCTTATTGAACCCCGCCGTCTAATTCTCCTCACTGCGCAGCGTTTTATTCAAACCTTCCTTGGAAGAAACTTCGTTGCCTTGCATTTTCGAAGACACGACTTCTTGAACTTCTGGTATCAGTATCACTCTTCCTTCTTCTTCTCTCTGTTCTGCCTAATTGCCTAATTGCCTAATTGCCTAATTGCCTAATTGCTTCGTCTTTACAGTAATGCCAAAAAGCCAAGTTGCTTTTATCCCATTCCTCAAGCGGCAGAGTGCATCTTGCGTGTGGTTGAAAGGGCCAATGCACCCCTCATTTATCTCTCTACGGACGCCGCAGAGACTGAAATTGGTCTGCTTCAGTCACTGCTTGTGCTAGATGGGAGGCCTGTTCCACTTGTCAAACGCCCTCCTCGTAATTCAGCAGAAAAATGGGATGCTTTCTTGTACAGGCATCATATGGAGGGAGACCCTCAGGTCAGAATACCATTCATTCACCTCAATTTCCATTCCTCCCAAACATTATTACATAAATTTGATGTTGATGACCATCATGCCATTGTCTCTTATTTGTTTACTTTGCAATTGCATCCATATCTGCAAGCTCAACATTTGCCAAATGAGGCACTCCACGTTTTTTTTATTATATCAAAGTCTTTACTGACATTGTGATTCTTAAGGTGGAAGCTATGTTGGACAGGAGTATATGTGCTATGTCAAGTGTGTTCATTGGAGCCTCCGGTTCAAGTTTCACCCGAGACATCCGACGGCTGAGAAAGGACTGGGGATCCGCATCATTGTGCGATGAGTACCTTTGCCAAGGTGAGGAGCCAAATTTTGTAGCCGACAGTGAATGACTTTTGGGGAGGGAGGGCTCATCTTTGTCTTGCAAACATTTTGTATGTATTCTCACGAGTCATGTATCATAATAGAATTGCTTCTTCTTGTTATATATATTCTACCACAATAAGTACAGTTTCTTTTCAATTTCTTCCCATAGCTTAACTCTTCTACCCTACCTCCTCCCCCTATCCCAAACCAAATTAATGTCATTTCATTTTTTTCAAATATGGCTTTTTCTTGGTAACCATATTGGCACATTTCATTGTGTCACACAAATTGTAATGGGACTAATATGTGAATGCTAAGTGAAGTCTATAAATATAATGTTAATGTGCAATTTCATTAAACATGCAAACACTTAAGTTAACAAATTAAATTCAGATATGTGGAGACAAAAATCAATATTTATTTTGAATTGGGAGCAAACTAAATAAAAATTAAATATTGTTTAGAGATAAGGGTGTTCTTAAGTTCGAGTAACATGTAAACTTGATCGATCCAAACACATTTGTTTGGATACTGCTGTTGTTCAAGATGAAGCTGACAAAATCCATTCTAAATCGATGACTTTAATTGAGTAACGAGTTCTTTAGTTTTAAACTCACATATATGATGACCTAATCCGTCTTTTTTACTATTTATATTTTTTTTTCTCTTATATATTTTAATTATTTAACTTTAAAATTTAAATAATATTTAAATTTTTTCACCTAATAAACCCAATTCATTCTATCATTGATTGATTTGTTTCAGATTTGATTAGAAAAACATACAAACTCAATTCAACCTATAGTATTTTAATCTGTTCGATCAATTCGATACAACTCTTGTATACTCCTAATAAAAATACATTTAACGTTATTTAATCAATCAAAATATATTAATTTAGGTGTGGATTCTAACTGCAAAAGAGATTTTGTTAAAGTTAACAAATATTTAAAGTATTTTTGTATTTTATTAAAGTTACATGCCTTATAAAGGTGAATTGTAGGTATATTTATATGTAAAGGAATGTTATTGATCAAAATCTGGCAATTTAGGAATATTTAAAAGTCTTTGTTATTTTGCAATGATTGGACATTATTTTTTTGTCATGATTTAAGTATTCAATTAGGTCAAACACTTTTTAATTCATTAAAACACTATATAATCGTGACTAATGATATATCAATTTTAAGACGTATCTAATACAAATTGTAAAATTGAACTAAATTAATTTGATTAGAGACCACCAGGATTAACTTAATGGTTGGGATAAAAGTGAAAGGATTTAGGTTTGATTTTTGTGGTGTCTATATAATCTTTTTTATAGAAAAAAAAAATTAATTTGATTAATTTATTTTGTTTTATTAAAAAATTGAAATAAACCAATTCACAAATACCTAAGTAAGTCAATATACTATGTGAAATAAAATATTTTTTCTAAGCAATTTATTAAAATATTTCATTTAATTACCCCATATATCCTGGGAGAAAATTTTAGGTGTATTTTTAATAATAAAAATTAATTAAAATAAACTAATAGTATAAATAGTTTTATATTAATTTATATATATAGAATATGAATAACTATTTTGATAAGGGCATTTTAAGAACTTTTTTTTTAATGAGAGAATTTTTAATTCTTTTAACTTCATATCTAATTTAATTTTTTTTTTATTATAATTATTTATGAATTACAATTTATATTTTTGAAATAAATTTTTAATAAATATTTTTTTGTTATATTATAAGTTATTTATCATAAGTTTAAAATATATTTTATATATTTAAAAATATTTATTTAAAATTGAATATAATTTATGTATTTAAACATAGTATTTATATATAATAGTTTATTTTAGATTCTAGTATATATAATAAACATTTAAAATACTAGTTATAGTATAATTATAGACTGCTATATGACATTATAAATTTATTAACTTTTATATACCGTAAGATAATTTTTAATTTTGATTTTACATTGACAGCAGCAATCTGAAAAAGAATTGACTAAAGAAGGAGAAAGAAAAAATGAAAGAGGAGAAAAGATTTTGATTTGGTTGTGAAGGACTTGGCTTCAACTTCAAGGTTGGAGCATCGTGTTGTGCGTCTTATATATATAACGCATAGCGTATTGATTTGGCTTTGATAGGAAGAAAAGCGCAGAAGCAGAAACAGAAAGGTATATCTATCAATGGGAAATGAGCACGAAGACGATCTGAAGGATGAGAAGAATCCCCGCCCCCTCGACGAGGATGATATCGCCCTTCTCAAAACCTATGTATGTAACTTTCCTTTCCAGATCACACTTCTCTTTTGCTACTTCTAACTAATACTGTTACCAAATTAGGGTTTCTTTTTCACCTGTGTGTAATTAATTGCTCTTTATGAATTCTCTGTCTTGATGCACATGCTCCAAGGTTTTAACCTTATTCTTGATATGAATGAGGTGTAAAATTCCAACCATTTCAGTCAATAAATTTTAGTGTAACTGGGCATGTCTACAGTAGTCATTGCATGGTGTTTCTTCTCTCTGTCATGCCGAAGCGGACTGATATCTATTATTCATACGCGTTCTTCTCCCAAGACTTGTACTTGTTGGATGAAAAATGCTTGTTTTTTATTTTTTATTTTTTTATGACTGCTCCTCTTCTCATCTGTAGTGTGTTTAATTTACAATTTTTTTTTTTTGGTTTATGCAGGGTTTGGGGCCTTATTCCACAAGAATAAAAGAAGTGGAGAAGGGAATAAAAGACATGGCAAAGAAAGTCAATGATTTATGTGGTATGTGTGCGATTGCCATCTTGTATGTCACTAATACAGATAGTAGCATGTGAATCATCGTATTCATTAATAGAACATGCTGATGATACAGAATGTATTCATTTGTTGAAATCCTGTTTTACTGCATCTTCTTGCATATTTGGACCAAATCAAGACACTTTGTCTTTGAAGAGCAGCCATTATTAAAGTTGTCAAAAACTCAAAATCACTTTGAAGATCACTGGACCGCCTAATCCCACGGTTTTCCATCCAATTCCTGTGCACAATTGGTTGTGGGATTGTTCACTGTAAGATCGTTCGGATCAAAACCTCCAACAAGATAGCATGGCACGCACCATCTCATTCTTCCTCTGGGTTGGGTTTTTAAAACTAAACACATTTGCTGACCTGGCCCATTTTACACAGCCTAAAAAATTGCAACTTTCTTCTCCCTCATTGCTATCATACATCAAAGTTGTATACATATCCAATAACCACCACTGTATCATCCCAACCAAACACTATCAACAAATTGAAAGCCTTCCACCTGCCTATAGTACCTACATTCAAGCCCTCCTCCCAATCAATAATCATAGATACATTCCCTTCCCCAAATAGAAAAACACCAACAAAAAATCAGTTCAGTAGTAAATTCCAACAAGCCAAGCACTTATAATTGCAATACTTCCATCCCACCATGTTAGTGGAGCAATTTGACACACAAATGAGGATTTGAGTACCACTCGTAAAAGGAAAACGCAGCTCATTTCCATATAGAAGAGATTCAAGCCCACGCTCTGTGCCTGACTTTTTCAACCGTGCTATCAAAATCTATTTGCCCTCTTTTGAAAATAATATCATTCCTAAGTTTCCATAGGGACCATATATCTGATCACCAAACAGTTTTCCAAGCCTTACTAGGGACTTTGCCCAACCAGTGGCAATTGCGATGCTCCAAGTTGGCCATAGGATCACAATGCATTACCCAAGCTTTTGAAACTCCTTGTTGCAAAATGTTTCTGTTGGCAAGGTTTACCTTTGTTGGTAACCTATTTTTGAGTGCCCTCCATACAAAAATGCCCACAGTTGGCGGTACCTTGTGTTTCCATACTCTAGACAAAAGATTTGGTATTAGCATATATTATATTATGTAGGTTAATGAGTACAAGGAAAGTCACCCATATAAATCTGAATAGAAATTTTCAATTTAATTTTAGTTCAATGTTATCATTTACAAGATATTTTCCTTATCTGACATATTTATCACATGTATATCTTTATATATAATTTTGCGTTTTTGGTAGGGTCTTACAATCCATGTTATGATCCTTCACTTTACGATCCTTCATTCCCTCACCGTCTTGTGTAAGATCTTGATTTTTACAACATGAATCATTTACTGATATTGTTAAATGATATTGACAATTCTCCATATATTCCTTTGCTGTGGTAGATTTATTCTTGATAAGCTTTGTTGTCATCAATCATCAACCATGAAAAATGATCAAATGAGTTGATAATTGATATTTTGGGGATTTGCTGTTTTAATTGCATTGTTACAGTGTTACTGATTTCTTAATTGCATAAGCTGCTTACAGTTTAACTTCTGTACTTTTGCTAATGTTAGATTTCTTTTGTTGCTGTAGGTATCAAGGAGTCTGATACTGGTTTGGCTGCACCAAGCCAGTGGGATCTTGTTTCTGATAAACAAATGATGCAGGAGGAGCAGCCTCTTCAAGTAATTTTTTTTAGGTTTTGTTTGAAGTGCTTTTAATATTTATGGGTGTTGCTAACAATAACTGTTTATTTAACAGGTAGCAAGGTGCACAAAGATCATAAATCCAAACTCAGAAGATGCCAAATATGTTATCAATGTGAAGCAGATTGCAAAGGTAACCTATATTTTGAACAACTGTCCCAATGTTTCTCACCACATCTATCCTGTGTTTTTTGTTTTAGGATGTTAGAGTCCACTTACTATTATAAGATTATCAATTTCTGAACAGTGCTGTGTAAATGCCAATGGGTTGGCAAAACTGTTGATTCTTTTCTTTATGTAATGGGACTGACGTTCCTTTTGCTTATTTTTTTTTTAATTGACAGTTTGTCGTTGGGCTGGGTGACAAAGTTTCACCCACTGACATAGAGGAAGGAATGCGTGTTGGGTATGTTCCAATCAGCAACTTTTGATGTTAAAATAGCTCATGTTGAGAGAAGGGGCATTCTAGTGTTATGCTGTCTGCTTGTTTGACTGAACTTCTTTCCATCATTTCAGGGTTGATAGAAACAAATATCAGATTCAAATTCCACTGCCTCCAAAAATTGACCCAAGTGTTACCATGATGACAGTTGAAGAGAAGCCTGATGTGACATATAATGATGTTGGTGGCTGTAAGGAGCAGATTGAAAAGATGCGAGAAGTAAGTTATTGGAAGTTGCCTTGATTTTTAGTCACTGCTTTAATTTAGGAATTAGGATATACGTTACATGGCACTAATTTTATATTTTTTAATTTTAATCTACTAGGTTGTTGAGCTTCCCATGCTCCACCCAGAGAAATTCGTTAAGCTTGGAATTGATCCTCCAAAGGGTGTTCTTTGCTATGGTCCACCAGGGACTGGCAAAACACTTTTAGCTAGGGCTGTGGCTAACAGGACTGATGCTTGTTTTATAAGGGTTATTGGAAGTGAGCTTGTTCAGAAATATGTTGGTGAGGGTGCTCGAATGGTTCGAGAACTATTTCAGGTGAATGGCTAAGATGCACTTATATTTATTTTATTTTATTTTCATTATTTCGAGGACATGATTTCATCTGACTAAAATATTGACCTCTAGATGGCCCGTTCCAAAAAGGCATGCATTGTGTTTTTTGATGAAGTTGATGCAATTGGGGGTGCACGGTTTGATGATGGTGTTGGTGGTGACAATGAGGTTCAGCGCACTATGCTTGAAATTGTGAATCAGCTTGATGGGTTTGATGCCCGTGGAAACATCAAAGTCTTGATGGCAACTAACAGGTTTTCTGAGTTGGCTATTATATGATTTCTATTTTATTTCGTACTCAGTTTTACTACATATTTTAAGACAGGAAAGTGTCTGCAAGTGTGCACTGTGCCATTATTGTCATAATTAGAATGCTGTTAAAACGTTGTTGCAGACACCATTTATGACATTCACATTAGGTGCTATAGTTTGTTTACTTTGGGGAGTAATGCTTTATATAGCAAGTTTTAGTTTTGAAATTTTACTAAAAAAAAACTCTTGTATGTACTGTTTGTTTGACTTTGTTAGCTTATCTTGGGTTCATCAGTAACTCATGCTTTGGTTGCTCCTTTAACAGCCTCTAGAAAGGATGTTTTGAACTACTAGTGGCTTTTTGGGGGGAGGGGGGGTTCCCTTGGCATTTGTATTTGGTAAACTCTAAAGAAGCAAGCAAGAATTGATGCTAAGGATTACCATTTTGTTTTCAAGTAATTCTTTGACTTACAGATCCTTTGATGCTGCATGATATCATGGATGCCTTTCATGTAAGGTCTATAGGATGTATTATGTTCCCATTTGTTGAACTGATGAAGTATAAAGCATAATAATGATCTATTTTATGCTCCAGCATATCTTGTAAACTAGGGTTACCCATGTTGCCCCCTTGTAATGAAAGTATATTACAAATCAAGGTTGCAATGCGACCTTTGTTGCATTTTATTTCATGGCTAAGCTTTTTGCTCCTTTGGAATTTACTGATGCTGTAGGGGCTGATCATCTGTAGTATTTTTAACAATTTGCAGGCCTGACACTCTAGATCCAGCACTACTACGACCTGGACGACTGGACCGTAAAGTTGAATTTGGCCTTCCTGATTTAGAGAGTAGGACTCAAATATTCAAGATACACACTAGAACCATGAACTGTGAAAGGGATATCCGCTTTGAACTTTTAGCTCGGCTTTGCCCAAATTCAACTGGTAAGAACACCTTTAAAACTTGGCATTTTATACTTTTCTTTGGTATAATGGTATTTTGTATGTTACTTTATGAACATTAGTTTTTTAGTTTCTTTTAGAATTTGGTGTAGTAAGCTTTTTACCGAAAACTTGTTCTTGAGGGATTTCTGCCACCTCCTTTCTTCCCAATGCCACACGGTTGAACATTGTGCTTCAGGCTTGGGTAATTTACCGAGATTTGTATTTTGACCAAGATACTTTTGGTTATCTTCAGGAGCTGATATAAGGAGTGTTTGCACTGAAGCTGGTATGTATGCTATTCGAGCCCGAAGGAAGACTGTGACAGAGAAAGACTTCCTTGATGCAGTTAATAAAGTCATCAAAGGATACCAGAAGTTCAGCGCAACTCCCAAGTATATGGTCTACAACTGAATTATTCTTTCCTCTACTTCACAGCAACTACGTTGGCGGCACTTTCAATATTTTCGCCTGTGAAAATTTTAAGGCGTTTCATTGGCAGTTGGTGAAATTCGTATGTATGAATGTTGACTCCAAAATCTTACCAAACGCTTTCAAATTATGACACATCCAAATTGCTGTCTCGTTGCATTTATTAACACCAAGAATAATTATCAACTTGCAGCGAGGTCTCTGAATAACCGAACGTGTTTCTATAGTTTAAGTAGTTGGGTTCTGTTGACACTAGTAGCCGACAAATAGCTAACACGAGTAACTTTCAAAGTCGAGACATATCAGTCGGATCAGTGGAGTTATGAAGTGGACGTTTGCTATTTTTTGTGCAAGTTAATTAACCATTATTGCAGTAACGCAGATTGGGACACGTTTAGAGAAAAGTTAAGATTGCACAAACTTGGAAAGTCTTTCATCATTGCCAGCTATTATCAACAGAATAAAGCGCAATCAATCTAAACAGACTTAAATTTGCAACCATTGGAATTGGAAATTATATTACAAATAAGCGAACATAAATAACATACATCACCCATGTCTAACTTGGTTGACCAAAGGTGCAATCAATATCTAACTCAGTCGTATAGAGTGAGGGGTTAAAAAAAGGGAGAAAAATATAGCTACATTTGCTTTGCAGAAAAACAAGGATTTAGAGGTCCCGTAGAACTGGTTCATCACTCCCTCGTTGGGACCCTCCATGATCACTACTACTAAATGTTCGCTTGCTCATGTTAGCTCGCTGCACTAATCGCACCAGTGCTTGAACCACTTCTGACATAGGTGGTCGGAATTCAGGTTCCGGCTGCCCCAACAATAACAAAATTAAAACGCATTTACAAAATAAATTTTGGGTGAATCAAAACGACGGCTGATATTACCTGAACGCAAAGTGCAATAACATCAGCAAATCGAGAAAGCGACTTAACAGGATATAGCCCTTTCAGTGCAGGATCAACCATTTTACCCAATGCATCAATATCATGGAGTTGAGGTGTTGCCCATCGAACCAGAGACTGCTCAGATCTTGGCCTTGAGCTGTTACACAATGTTTTCACAAATCACAATCAGAAAAAGAAAAAATTCTGAGATCATGTTAAATATTTCAATTGTTTTACTTTATAACAATATATATCCATCAAATGTAGAAATACTTATGTCAAAGGTGTGGCAATCATTCACCTATCAAATGGTTTCCGTCCGCTGAGAAGTTCCAACATGACAACTCCAAAACTGTAGACATCACTTTTCAAAGTATACTGACCAGACAGGGCAACTTCAGGTGCATCGTATCCAGATCCAACATTAAGGCTCAATACCTGAATGCGAGACCCACAGTTAGAAGTTAGAACAATAATTTATTGGGTTTACTGTTTACCAGGTAAAAGGAAATGCCGCATTTGTTTTTAAGAACATGATCCATATTCCTAGAGAAGAGTAAAATAACTACAGTATACTTCCAAATCCAATGCAATATGTCAGGCAGCATGCAGATTTTCTTTTCCATATTGGTAAATTACACAGTATATTGTGGGTTCAAGCCCTTGGTGGCACACAGTTTACCTCGATAAAGGGAAATTCAAATTGATAATGATCAACATAGCCTAAAAATATGTAGAAAACTAGCAACAGAAACAGTAAAAGCATGTTGGCCAAACACAATCACGTTCAATTATAAAAACAAACATTCAAAACATTAAGTTCCAAAGCTTTATAAAATAAGTAATCACCTGGTCTGCATTTGGAATATAACTTGCCAATCCACTATCTGAAAGGTGAGGATTAAGCTCTGCATCAAGTAATATGTTGGCTGACTTAATATTCTTATGAACAACTGATGGAGAACTAACTTCATGTAGGTACCTAGAAAAAATAATTGTGGATAAAGTCTGGTCATTGAGTCTCAAGGATAACATGTAGATATATGCTTGATGTCCAAACACATGTTGCCACATTAAAAAACAGGAAAACAAAAACTTTTATTGTAACTACAATGGTTAATTACTTCCGTAAAGCTAAAGTGGCACTATCCTGTTTACTGATAATGTATTGATTCTCAAGGTGATAGTGAGTCAAATTTAAACTCAATTCCTATTTTATAGTCCAAACTATTTCTTCGTATTTTAATATTTCCAAAATCTGAACATTAGATAAAGTAAAAATCCTGGGTCCATACATTGTATTTTTATCAGGAAAAAAAGAGCATTGTAAAGAGGGATAACCTTAATTTTAAATCAGTCAAGCCCATACATGTATGTTGGCATGCAAGTTAGGCAGGAAACCAATGAAAAAAAACAATAGGAAAGGAAGGAGGAGCTAATAAAAAAACTGAGGGAATAACTGTAAGATTAAAATATTGATCATGAATTGATGCAAAAATTCCTCACAAGGTGCGGTATATGGATCTTCTAAATCATTTAGTCCACAACTTACTCTAAAGCACGAGCAGTCCCCAAAGCAATCTTGACACGGGAATTCCATATCAATGGTTTACTATATTCATCTGATAGATGAAGAAAGTCATGGAGTGATCCATTTTTATGAAATTCATAGACCAAGAGGTGTTGTCCATACTCTGAGCAATAACCTACAAGCTCTGTCACATTTGGATGATGTAAATTGGAGATGTTTGAAATTATTTCTATAAAATCATCTGACAAATCATTGGGAAGGACAGATGAATCTATCTTCTTCACCGCAAGAACCTACAACATTTTAGAAATAAAAAAACAGTCAAAATCATCAATAACTTTGGGCCCATTGTACATGCACATGATTTTCCAGACACTTGTGCTTCTTTTTCTTTTTTGGTTACGGGAGGAATGCTGGAGATGAAGACACTGAAAATACTAAAACTAACACAACCTTATTTTACATCAACGCATGCATCCATGTGCTTGTCATTGGAATCAGACAGAGTGAAATTACAGGAATAGTGGTTTAGAAATACCTGTCCATCATCAAATTGAGCGCAAAACACACGCCCAAAAGACCCCTCACCAACAAGGTGATCCACACTGAAGCTGCCAGTAGCAATCTGTAATTCAGCAATAGAATATGATTTCACATTTGCAGGAGCTGTTACAGTCTTCTTCACAATTGTGGGCTTCTTGGAGAATTCTTCATCATCAAATGATTTATGACGATCAATAGGAGGGGGTTTAAGATTTATTGAGGCAGAAGTATCAAAAGTCTTCAAGTCAGTTACTGAGGAAGTTTGCACAGACTTTTCTTCTGCATTGAGGCTCATATGTCAATTTGGATAGTGAAGTAGAAAAACAAAATAATATAGTTGCCAATGATGAATTATAAAGTGCAAAACTAATAGAATAAAAAATGAAAAATGCTTTTAACATAACAAATATAAGCAACATAAAAATAATGATGGCCTCAACATTGAAAAATAAAATTCTTTAAATAGTATGCAGGATGCAGACCATGCACTTCCTTTGAAGGATGTGGAGTAAAAGACTGATTGCCCAGCTTTTCTAAATCTGAAGATGACTTCTTGGATTTTTTCTTCACCAAAAAGAATGCTACTATTGCCCCTACAACAATGACGGAGATCGCAATTCCAGCTATGCCACCACCCCCTATACCAGATTTTTTGCCCTCATCAGTTGAGCTGCTGTCACTGCCTACATTTGAGGAGGTGGTGCTTCCACCACTAGACTTGTGGTGCCGGTTGCTTTTAGGTGCTAGAGGTATCCCAGGGGGAGGTGGGGGTGCAGGTCCTGAGCTCCATGCATTACCACCAGTCCTATCATTATATTTGTCCAATATTAGAGTTTTACAGAAGTTTATGATGAAAATCTGATACCTAGTTATCAACTTGCTGATAACAGGAAATGCTTACTGTATGTTTATGTTCTTCAACTGTTCTGGTATCCATCCTGTAAAATTATTGTTTTCCACATTCCTGAGAATAATTTAAGATGATAAATACAATGGGCTTTAATTTTTTTTTTTTCTTTTTGGAAATTTAGGAAAGGATATTCCAGCTATGTCATATGATACAACAGATACGCACAGATTATCCAGCGGCAGATTAGCAAGGACATCTAAAGTGCCTGTGAACTGGTTATTTTGTAGATACCTGCACAAATGTAAGAAATCAACTTAGAATGCAATCAATAACATGTAAAGTATTAGCAGGAAACATCAATAGTTGGTATATTTACATGGTGGTTATGCGTGAAAGTGAGGTCACAGTCTGAGGGAGATCACCTGTTAGAGAATTGAAGGAGAGATCCCTGCAACAAGAAAAAGATGTTAGCCCACTTGGCCCTGAATCGTTTGTTACCAAGAACCAAAAATAGCCACAGTTGTGAAGAGCATGTAAATTATGAAATTACCAAAAAAAAACATGACATGAGAGACAATGCAACAGGATATGTATATGGACTTTTTTCCCATGCAAAATGTCTTAACATGCAATCAGAACTAATATTGTGAAATTATTACACTGCACACACGAAATAGTAATTCATCCAGAAAAACATCATTAAAACATATACAAGATGAAAAGGATCAATACTTCATGGTAAAGGACCTAAAGGTAACAATAATTTGACAGCCATATAGATTTTAAACCACTTTTTTATGCAGCCAAAGGGTAGGAGGAAATCTCACAATTTGAAGAGGGTAGAGAGGTTAAGAAAGTCAACACCCAGTCCTTGCTGGAGTTGATTGTGACCAAGATTCCTGCATAAAAACAAATTCAAAAATTACTCTCAAGGTGCTTGTATTGGTGGTTGATCTGAATATGACATATTTAAAAGAAGAAAATTACACACAGGTCTGTAAGAGCGGTCAAGTTAGAAATAGAGTAAGGGACTGTCCCTGTGATGTTATTGTAAGCAAGATTTCTGCATGCAAAGAACTAAGGATGTTAAGAATCATAATATCATAAATAAAATACACTGAAGTGTAACAACCACATATATAGAGAAGCATACAAGCGTTGCACATAAGGAGGAAGTTGGTATGGTATGGTGCCTCCAAGATTGTTGCTACTCATATCTCTGTAAAATTTTCAATGTCACAACAATAGTGGCAATGCATATATGTAACGAATGAGACCATTAATCTTACAGGTCGGTCAAAGATGACAGGACTTGTAATCCGTAAGGCAATGTTCCAGTTAGTCCAAGATTAGATAACTTACT